TCCTGCCACAAGCAACTTTCAAACCTGGGACTTGCTTGACTCACACCTTAGTCATCCACTCAGGTTGCTGCATGAGCTCTCAAAAGCAGATTTGCGGCTTACATCCCACAATCAGTTTGTGAAGTGCCAGGAATCAGCAGATCACCCATGGGAAAGGCACTCTGCACATGCTCAGGTGCACTTTCTTCTGGGGTTAAGGAACATGAGAAGGTGGGTGCGAGAGGAAGGCACTTTGCACATGCTCAGGCACCCCTCACCGCTAGCTGGCATAACAACAGATTCTCCAGGGGTGCTAGGAGCAGTGACGGAGTTAAGGGCTCATTTAGAAAGGAGCCTCAGAGCCTTACCAAGAAACGGGGAGACCAGCCACAGAGAAAATAGCTCCAGGGCCCCCTCAGGCAACCTCAGGCTTTCCAAGACAATCCGATGGAGCTCGTGGGCCGTGATTGACGGCAGGTTGTCCACTGTTAGCCGGACCACCGTCTCATCGATCAGGTACACCAGGACGTCCAGGTCTGGGACAAGAAGAGGAGGAGGATTGGGACATGAACACATTTCTTGCAACTGAGAAGAGGTCACAGGAGATCCAGATTCCCGCTAAACTACCACCCCGTTTTGCGTGCAAATGACGCAGGAGCCCCCAAAACCAACAATCTCCTTCAATTTTCAGATGAAGAAACCAGACACAGTCAGGCATCTAAACCAGACTGCTTTACCACACTTGGCCACTTTGATTTGTCACATAATACCTGCTCTGTACAGTGGTGCCCCGCAAGACGAATGCCTCGCAAGACGGAAAACCCGCTAGACGAAAGGGTTTTCCGTTTTGGAGGTGCTTCGCAAAACGAATTTCCTATGGGCTTGCTTCGCAAGACGAAAATGTCTTGTGAGTTCCTGCAGGGTTTTTTTTCCTTTCCCCCCCTTTTCCCCAAGCCGCTAAGCCGCTTATCAGCTGATCCGCTAAGCCACTAAGCAGCTTAACAGCTGATCCACTAAGCCGCTTAACAGCTGATCGCTAAGCCGCTTATCAGCTGATCCGCTAAACAGCTGATCGCTAAGCCGCTTAACAGCTGATCTGCTAAGCCGCTAATCAGCTGATCTGCTAAGCCGCTAATCAGCTGATCCGCTAAGCCGCTAATAGTGCTAATCCGCTAAGCCGCTAATGGGCTTGCTTCGCAAGACGAAAAAACCGCAAGACGAAGAGAATCGCGGAACGGATTCTTTTCGTCTTGCGAGGCACCACTGTATTTGTTAAAAGATATTTTAGTGTGGCAGCACCTGAACGTTGGAGCTCCCTGCCGAATGACATCATTGTATTCTTTTCGGCACCTGCTGAGAACATGTTAAGTAAATGAGGAGCGCCTGCTGGATCAGGCCAAAGGGAGCCCATGTAGTACAGGATCCGCTTCTTACAGCGGCAAACCAGGTGCCCTAATGGGAAACCGGCAAGCAGGACTTGAACGCAAAAGCCCCCCTCCCCTCCTGTGGTTTTCAGCAACTGCTTTACAGAAGCATTACTGTCTCCATTTTTATTTTTTTTAGGCAAACCTACCCAGGTATGTAGAAGCTTGACGTGTAATGTTTTTAGCTTATTGCCAATTTTAATTATTATTTGAATGTTTCAAATAGCTGTCTTTTAAAATGTCAGGTAATGCTCAATAATAAAAAATAATAAACAATACTGGCAAGTACTTGCCAATCATTTTTAATGATTTCCATGCAATTTTACACACATTGTAACTACCAAGCAAAACTAAATTATATTACTTTAACCAAAATATCTTTTGAATTCCCAAGTCAAAGTGTTGGTGATGACCTTTAAAGCCCTAAACAGCCTCGGTCCAGTATACCTGAAGGAGCATCTCCACCCCCATCGTTCAGCCCGGACACTGAGGTCCAGCTCCAAGGGCCTTCTGGCGGTTCCCTCACTGCGAGAAGCCAAGTTACAGGGAACCAGGCAGAGGACTTCTTGGTAGTGGCACCTGCCCTGTGGAACGCTCTCCCACCAGATGTCAAAGAGAGAAACAACTACCAGACTTTTAGAAGACATCTGAAGGCATTTAATGTTTAATAGGGTATTGTATTTTAATCTGTTGGAAGCCGCCCAGAGTGGCTGGGGAAACCCAGCCAGATGGGCGGGGTACAAATAATAAATTATTATTATAAGTTGTGTTACAACTTTTTAGGTCACCTCATTTTTGGAATTTGAAAGCTGAAGAATTCGACATGCCCTACTTCCCACCACCCATGGAACAATGTGGCCTGTCAAGCCAAAGGCAGGACCTTGAAGATCTTGAGGGCTTATCCCAGAACCACGAACCCCAACCCTGCTCAGGCCTGTTCCCTTCCAGCATCTGGTGTATGAGGTTCAAGAACCCCCCTGTGGTCCCCCCCCCTTTCCAGGCCCTTTCTTCTGCCTCTCCCCTTTCTCACTCACTCCGGGGTCCTGCGGAAGAGATGCTGCTCCGCTGGGAGTGGTCCTCTGTGCTTTGGGGTACGCCGAGCCGGTCCCCCTCCATCTGCAGAGACAAAGCAGGTGCACATCTGAAATGTGAGGAATTGGGTGCGGGTTCAAATCCCAGCTACAGGATATACTTGAAGAGAGGAAGTTGACTTGTAGTGGGTTGAAGGTGCCTTACACCATGTCTAGTAAACCACCCAGCAAGTTCGCAGTTGCTATGCTACACTGACTGGCTTCCAGGGTTCCAGGTGGGGGAAATTTCCAGCTCCACCCACTCACCTGTGCCTTATACTGGTCCATCTAGCTCAAAGCTATTTGCACTGACAGGCAGCAGCGGCTCTCCAGCGTTTTTCAGGCTGGAATTGGCGCAGTTAAAAAAGACACCGCCCCTCCCCAACTGTGGATGCAGCGCAGGTTTTGATGTCCTGCGGCCCTGCTACCTGTACAAGGGGGAGGTCAGAAGGCTGCACGTCTCCCTCCCCCCCGTTTTTTCTTGTGCTACTGCTAAACACTTTCCCTCCTCCCCGTCCCCAGCCGCATTTGGAAGGGCTTTGCACCCACCTCCGCCCCCTTTCCCTTTGTTTCCCCATCCCGACCAACTTTCTCCCGTCTCCAGCAAGTGAGATTGCACTCCTCTCGGGGCAGGGTCCTAGGAAATTCCCCGCCTAGCTCCGCTGGACCCAGAGGGGCGTGGCTAGGCGCTGCGCTACCCAGGTGAGCCGGGGAGGGGGTGCTGGAGCCTTGCCCAGGTGGGTGGGGGCCAAGTGAGATGGGGAGGGGGCGCACTCAGAACAGAGGGGGGGAGAAAGTCCCTAGGAGGCGGCAGCCGGGGCAGGGGAGCGCGCAGCCTACCTGGCCGCCAGTCTCACCTGTGTCCTCCTTTTCCTTCCTGCTTTCGTTGCAAGGAGGAAAGTTCTGCAGTTCTAACAGGGGACCCACCCCCGTTGCGTCTGGCGTCACGCCTTCCGAGCTCGTCTATTGGCTGCTCCTGCCAGCCCTGGAATTTCACCAGGCGGGGAGGAGGAGAGGGAAACTGCGCACGCGTAAGCGCGCGCAGCGGGGTTTCCCCACCCCCAATTGTGGGGACGTCACGGCGGGAGGCTGGCTCGGGTGATTTGTGACGCGCTTGTAATCGGGGGGTTACGGTAGGTAACTGGGGAACGGGCAGCCGCTTGAGCGCCGCCTGGAGAGAAGAGCCTTCCAAGACGGGGCTCCGACTACAGCAGCATTTGCCCTCTCTTTAAGAGTCTCTGCCCGTCGAGCTCAAATGATTTTTTCGTTCCTTGGCTTCCACACCCCCCGCCCGTTTGCGATTGAACGTGTGAAGCGAGGAACACTTAGGATTTTGAGCGCGTGTGTATCCCCTGTTTCAGATATTCCATAAGGCTCTTCCCTAGAATGGAGCACGTGGGCAAGCAGGATTCGAACACTATCCCCTCCTGTGATTTCCAGCATAGCCACTCCGTGAATTTGCCCAGTCCTCTTTTAAAGCCATCTAAGTTGGTGGCCATCACTGCCTCATGCGGGAGTGAGTTCAACTATGTGATGCATAAATAAGTCATTTCTTTTATCCGTCCTGATCCTTCCAACATTCAGCTTCGTTGGATTCTCACGAATTCCAGTGTTATGAGAGACGAGGCAAAACTTCTCTGTACACAGTATCCATTTTCCGCAGCCCATGCATGATACAGTGGTACCTCGGGTTACATACGCTTCAGGTTACAGACTCCGCTAACCCAGAAATAGTGCTTCAGGTTAAGAATTTAGCTTCAGGATGAGAACAGAAATCCGGCGGCGTGGCAGCAGCAGGAGGCCCCATTAGCTAAAGTGGTGCTTCAGGTTAAGAACAGTTTCAGGTTAAGAACGGACCTCCGGAACGAATTAAGTACTTAACCCGAGGTACCACTGTATTATAAACTTCTATCTCTTTACTCGCCTTGTCTCGGAACTAAAAATGCCCAAACGCTGCATCCTTTCTTCATGGGGGTTATTCCATCCCCTTGATCACTTTGGTTTCCCTTTCCTGGACCTTTTCCAACTCTACAATATCCTTTTTGAGGCGAGGTGACCAGGACTGGACACAGGATTCAAAATTTGGGTCACACCAGAAATTTGTATAATCACGTCTTTATATCTGCAGTTTTATTTTCCGTTCCTATCCTCATGATTGGATTGTACTGACCTTCAAAACACACTGAGTGCACAATTAATTTTTATTTTTCCTTAAAAAAAAAGAAAAGTATTTCAATTCAACTTCTCTCTGCTACCGGGAAAACTCTCAGACGTTTTTACTGCCTGTAAAATTAACACAGCGTAGCCTTTTCTCAAAAGCTCAATTTACTGAATGTAAGTCAAGCGCGCCAGATCAGATCTTTCGTCGTTCTCGGGGCAAAGGTGTGTTCCTCGTTATGATAGTGCTTGGAAGACTGGAAGCATCCAGCGAAAAGAGTGGCAAACTTAGCGAGTCAGATCCGATCCTGGTCTAAAGGTTAACAGCAGTGAATATTTAATCCCTGGAAGGAAGAGAAGCCGCAAGGAGACAAGGGATTCTTTCTTTGCCGGGGTGGGGGGCGGGTTTTCAGCCTCTGCAAGGGGGATCCGGCCTTTGGAGCTGAGAGCAGCAACTGCGGGGGCGGGGCGGGGACAGGATCCCAGCGCCCAGGTGAGTCAAAGGACAGAAGGTGTAGACGGAAAAGAATAACGATTCCTGGAGAATGCGGTGGGGGGGGGCTCTTGTACTCAGGTCCTACTTGCAGGTTTCCCCACAGGCATTTATTTGGCCACTGTGGGAACAGGATCATTGGCCCTAATCCAGCAGGCTCTTCTTGAGCTAAGAGCTAGTGAGAAACCTACTGAGTAACACGCAAGAGTTAATAAGGCAACTGGTTTATTTGTCAGGATTCTTACTCTTACACTTCAGTTTTTATCCCACCCTTCCTCCATAGAGATTCCCCTCCCCAAAAATGATTTTAAAAATAATAATGCAGCAATCCTGTAAGGTAGTTAGGCTGCAAGACAGCAGTTTCCAGCAACTGGTATTTGGAAGTACAGTGGTACCTCGGGTTAAGTACCACTTAATTTGTTCCGGAGGTCCGTTCTTAACCTGAAACTGTTCTTAACCTGAAGCACCACTTTAATGGAACCTCCTGCTGCCGCTGCGCCGCCGGAGCACGATTTCTGTTCTCACCCTGAAGCAAAGTTCTTAACCTGAGGTACTATTTCTGGGTTAGCGGAGTCTGTAACCTGAAGCGTATGTAACCTGAGGTACCACTGTATTTCTGTCTCCAACTGCAGAGGCAGAGCATAGCCATGGTGGCTAGGAGCCCTCTCCTCCTCCAGGAATTTGTCCCATCCTCTTTTGAAGTGGCCATCTTGTGGGAGTGAGTTCCACAGATTAACTACGCTCTGTGTGAAGGAAGGTTCTATTTTATCTGTCCCCGAACCTCCCAAAATTCATTGGATGCCCACAGGTTCCAGTGTTATGAGAAAGGGAGAAAACCTTTTCTCTGCCCCCTTTTCTACATGCTGTGAATCATTTTACAAATCATGCCATCTCCTGCTTGTCTTTTCCCCAAACAAGAGAATCCCAAATGCTGCAGCCTTATCTTGTAGGGGAATGGCTCCATCCCCTTGATGGTTTGGGCTGCCATTTTCTGATCTCCCCCCACCCCCCAGCTCTACAATATCCTTCTTGGGGTGGGGTGACCGAAAGAGTGTGAAGAGGTTGTCCTCCCCTCTTCTCTTGCTGCTGTGGGGCTGTTGCAGGAGCCATGCCTCTGGGTCCCAGCACAGCACCCTGGCCAGTTCAGCCCAGATTGCATGGTTAATGGTCCATCTCAAGTGGGTGGGAGGGTGGGAGAGCATGTGTCCCTGTGGTGTGCATTTGGTTAAAGATTAAGGCAACTCAACCAGAGCATTCCCTTTGACCAGATTTTGCCCCCCCCCATCCCTCTGCGATGCACCCAGACTTCCAGAAGCTTTTCCGATGTCCGGTGCAGAATTTGCTGCAGGATGGCTTTCTGGTAAGATCTGAACTCCTTCTTCCCTTTATACACACACGCACAGGTGGGGGGCTTTGTTGTAGGTCCACATCCCTATTCCAGCATGGGAAACCGTATGATCTAGCGGGGTGGGGTGTGTGTGTGTGTGTGTGTGTGTGTAGAAGAATAGAATCATAGTTATAGGGTTGGAAGGGTTCTCATCTAGTCTAACCTGCTGCAATGCCGGAATATGCAGGTGGCCCATATGGGAATCAAACCTGTGACCTTGGCGTTATCAGCGCCACACTTTAACCGACGGAGCTGTTGCAGAAGTGGCTCGAATATCAGACGAAGGACCCAGGAGAGGCAGCATCGATCCAACCCCACAACGCTCCCCGGCTGGCCTTGATCCAGTCCCCCTCTCAGCCTGAGATGCCTCACAGAGTTGCTAGGAGGATAAAAAAGAGGGGGAACCCCCCCATATTCACATGTTGCCCTAAACTCACTTAGAAAAAGAGTGGGGTAAAGATGCAATGACTTGGGTGAAAGAAATCCTGCCAACCTAGCAGTTAGAGAGCACGAAGTGCAAGTAGATAAATAGGTACCACTCCAGCAGGAAGGTAAACGGCGTTTCTGTGCGCTGCTCTGGTTCGCCAGAAGCAGCTTAGTCATGCTGGCCACATGACGCGGAAGCTGTACGCCGGCTCCCTCAGCCAATAAAGCGAGATGAGCGCCGCAACCCCAGAGTTGTCCGTGACTGGACTTAATGGTCAGGGGTCCCTTTACCTTTAAGTGAAAGAAAATAGGATCGGGTTGGAGAAGGACAAGAGAAGTTGTCTTTTGATGCTCCCAGCTTCTCACAACCCAGCCCTTGTTTCCTCACAAGAACCCTTTGGAGCAGGCCGTTTTTCATTTCTGGTTTGCAGACAAGGGAAACTGAGAGTGACTTACCGGTAGCTTTCCGTGGCTGCTCAGAGACGCTTTTTTCAGAAGCAACACGTCAACCCTGCCCTTCTCTCCCCCCAAGCCAGCCTAGTGCCTCTTTACCCTAACAGAGACCCCACTAACTCCCCCTTTTTAATTTTTATTTTGCTACAGGGGCAGCAGGGCTGGTTCTGGGGCACCCAATCGACACGGTGAAGGTGATTTCTTTGGGGGGAGGGGGTTGGAAATGCTTAAGGCAGGGGTGGGGTGGGGAAGACTTCCAGCCCTGGGGGAGGCCTGAAAGAGATGTGTCTCAGATGGGGGGGAGAGAGATGGTAGCCAGAAGTGTTGGGGAGGTGCATGCCCAAAGAGGTCAGCTGCTTTTGAGGCTCTGTGCTAGCTGCAACTGTTGCATGGCATGCAATGGGCACTGAATCCACACGGGGCTCTGGACAGAGCAGCATGCTGGGTTGCGGCAGCGAACCTCATCCCCAACAAAGTTCTTTTCTCCCCAGAGGGATTGGTGGCCAGTGGAGTTTTGTGGGGAAGCAGAAACTGGCGTGTTCGCTGGGGGTGTGGGACCCTGGCTTAGTCATTGAGTCCACGTGTAGGATGGACAAGGTCCCAGACTCAGCCTCTCCAGTTACCAGTGGATGGGAAAGAGCCTTCCAGAGTTGCCATTGGTTCCTCTAGTTCAGTACTGGCTACTTTTAAAATGAGGCTGCTTTTTTAAATTGCATTTTAATCTGTATTTTAAATTGCCCCCCCCATTATTTTTTTCCTGTAATTTTACTGATGTTAGCCACCCTGAGCCCATCTCTGGCCGGGGAAGGCGAGGTATAAATAAAATTTATTATTATTATTGCCTGCACTGACTGGCAGCAGTGGCTGCCCAGGGTTTCAGGTAGCAGACATTCCCAGAGACTCTGGGGCTGCTAATTTGGCCCTGAGTTGGGGGCTTTTCTTCCTTCCAGGTGCGGTTGCAGACACAGGCCAGATACCGGAACGTTTTGGACTGTGTGGTCAGGACGTACCGTGAGGAAACGGTGAGCCTCTTTCTGTTGTGTGTGCAGTGCAGACTTCACCTCTAAGCTTTCACCTCCTTTTAAAACCCAGCCTAATCTTAAACCGATAGATTTAGACTAAGGTCTTTTGTAACAGCATAATTTTAGAATGCAATTTTAACCCCAAAAAATCACTTATTCCGAAGAAGGAAATATGATCTGCCCAGTTCTGTGGAACTCTCTGCCACTAGAGATTTAGCAGGCGCCTTCCATGCCAACTTTTAAATGTGTGCTGAAAACATTTCTATTTCTCCAGGCCTATCCAGGCAATTAAGAACACATTCTTCTACCATGGTTATTTGATGCCTCTTTTTAAATTTTAATGCTTTTTTTCTTGTATGGTTTTATGTTTGTATTGCTGTAAACTGCTTTGATATATTTTTATGGCACAGAGGCATATGACTATTTTTATAGAGAAGTACATATAAATATTTTGCTTTTTAATATTAATATTCAATATTTCCCCAAATGCCCAGTTTGGGAATAATCTCCACCCTCCCACCCCAGAAATAAATTCCTAAGCTGGTCTGTTTCTTTGCAGTTCTGGTGCTGCCTCTTGACTCTACAGCCCCATTCCTGATCCCTGCCTAAGTATCTAATTTTTTGGGAGAGTTGACATCATCACAGGGGCCTGCCCCACAGATCGCTTGAGAGGGGTGACTTTGCCAGAAGAGAGGGTGGGAGGCAAGGCATCACCGGAAGAGAAAGACAAGAGAGGACACAGGCTTTCACAAAATTTGCAGCTGCTAATTGATATGTATAGATGCAGATTGAGAAATAATTGCTATAATTTTCAATACAAGTGTAGCATATCTCACCATAATGGAGGGGAATCTGCTGCCATCAGGAGACCTCCGTGCCTGGAAACTTTGCCCTTGAAACTGATTTGGACTGGACGACCTTTGCATTAGAAGGAAAAGAAAGTAGGGCATTTGTGATTGTACTCAGCTAAATTCCACTACTAGCAGACCCATGGAAATCACTACACCTGTGTTAGTGATGCCCATTCATTTATGTAGGTCTAGTCTTGTGTGCGACTAACATTAGGTGCAACCTCTAGGTACCCAAAACATTGCTACTCCCCATGAGTTGCAGGCAGCGGCTGAGGAAGGGGTGTGTGGTGGGTGCGGGCTGCCCCAGGTGTCACCAGTGAGGGTGGTGACAAAATGCTGGGCAGCACTCACCACGGAGCCTGCAGCGCACCCGAGCCACGCATCTCTCCCAGGAGACACACGGTGGCTTGGGCGCGTGCAGGCTCCGCATTGCCCAAACGGTCTGCCTGCTGCCTCCCCCCCCAGCTGTAAGGCGGCTGAGTGGGAGGAGGCAGGCAGACTCCAGAGGCCCCACAGGCTCGTCCCGCTCCTGGGTATGCCGCCTCAGGCGCCCAATCGGCTTCCCCCGCCGCTGGTTGCAGGCTTCCTTTAGGGTGTTCATACCCTACAAAATGTCCCTGATGAAAATGGGGGTGTCCTACCATACCCTCCAATGCTTCTCCTATGAAAATTAGGGTGTCCGACTCCTAAGGAGAAGCGGAACATTCTGGTATGAACTCAGAAGCCACGAGGGCTTCTGTAAATCCGGGACTGTCACTGGAAAATAGGGACATCTGGAGGGTCTGGATGTTGGAGAATTGGAAGAGAACCTGACAGTGTATCCTGACTCACTTTGACTAAAGGCTCAAGCTGGGACTGACTGCTGATCTCCTCCTCCTCCAGTGAGAGCCCCTCCAACCAGGGCTAGTTGGATCCCAATTGCCATAAGCTACTCAGCCCTTACTGATAAATTCACCCAAAAGGGGAGATGTTTGATTGGGGAGTCAGAAGGAACCATTGTGCAGGGTTTTTTACCCTCTGCATTCTGGCTCTCTGGGGACGCGGGTGGCACTGTGGGTTAAACCACAGAGCCTAGGACTTGCCAATCAGAAGGTTGGCGGTTTGAATCCCCACGAGCGGTTCGAATCCCCCGACGGGGTGAGCTCCCGTTGCTCCATCCCTGCTCCTGCCAACCTAGCAGTTCGAAAGCACGTCAAAGTGCAAGTAGATAAATAGGTACCGCTCCGGCGGGAAGGTCAATGGTGTTTCCGTGCGCTGCTGTGGTTCGCCAGAAGCGGCTTAGTCATGCTGGCCACATGACCCGGAAGCTGTACGCCGGCTCCCTCGGCCAGTAAAGTGAGATGAGCGCCGCAACCTCAGAGTCCGTCACGACTGGACCTAATGGTCCCTTTACCTTTTTTTACTCTGGCTAAATCCCGAGTTTATTTATCTGTAGCCCACCTTTTTCTCTCCAAGGTGGCATACATGGTCCCCCCCCCCACAGCCAGCATCTGGGGCCACCCCCAGCTCATAGAAGCATAGGGCTGTGGGGTTGGAAGGGACCCTAAGCGTCATCTAGACCAACCCCCTTGCAGGGTTCACCTGCCTGCTTCTCCCTTGCAGATCCTTGGCTTCTTCAAAGGCATGAGCTTCCCGCTGCTCAGCGTGGCCATGGTGAACTCTGTTGCATTTGGGGCCTACAGCAACTTCCTGCTCTACCTGTGCGGCACCCACCACCGCGATCGCAGCACCAACCCCCCCAGCTACACCCATGTCTACGCGGCTGGATGCTTCTCAGGACTGGTGCAGGTAAGGAGCAGGTAGCCCCAGCTGACTTGTCTGTGACTCTGCTCAGTTTGCATGGTTTTGGGATCTGCATGACTTCATGCCCAAGTCCAGATCAAAAGAAGTCATAGCACTGCTCTGTTCTGCCTTGGTCAGACCCCACCTGGAACCCTGTGTCCAGTTCTGGGCACCACAGTTTTAAGAAGGATATTGGCAAGCTGGAAGGTGTGCAGCAAAAATGACCCAGGGTTTGCAAACCAAGCCTTATGAGGAACAGTGGAGGGAGCTGAAGATCTTTAGCCTGGAGAAGAGGAGATTGAGAGGAGATATTATTTCCACCTTGAAATATCACGCAGAAGGTGGGTTCAAATTGCAAGAAAGGAGAACCTTACGAAACATCAGGGAGAACTTTCAGATAGCAAGAGCTGTTCAACAGTGGAACGGACTCCATCGGAAGGTGGTACAGATGCAAACTGAGAAATAATTGCTATAATTTTGAATACAAGTGCAACATACCTCACCATAATGGAGGGGAATCTGCTGCCACCAGGAGACCTCCGTGCCTGGAAACTTTGCCCTTGAAACTGATTTGGACTGGACAACCTTTGCATTAGAAGGAAAGGAAAGTAGGGCATATCAGCTAAATTCTACTACTAGTAGACCCATTGAAAGCACTGGACCTGTGTTAGTGATGCCCATTCATTTAAGAGGATCTACTCTTGAGTGCGACTAACATTAGGACTCTCCTTCATTGGAGGTTTTTAAACAGAGGTTGGATGGTCTTCTGTCAGCTATTCTTTAGCTGGGATTCCTGCATTGCAGGGGGCTGGACTAAATGCCCCCTTAGGGTTCCAGCTCTACAGGCCTATGATTCTAAAACATCCTCCTTCCATGTTTTTCCCTGTTCAGCTCTTGAAACAGCCGCACGATTTCCCCATTACGATGCTGTTCAGTCGGTTATGAGCTGTATCAATTGCTCAAGCCATTTCCTTCTCTGGAGGCTGCCCCTCCCCTCTAGGAATTAATCTTTTTTTCTTTATTTCATTCTAATTTTACACACTTTATTTGATGCATGTATCAAGCCATATGAAAGCTGAAGCATATGGTCCACATAAAAGCCACCTTTCTGTAAGATAAAATACGTCGTGCAATAGGCAGAATATTAACCTCCTTGTGGGAATTTACTCTTCAAATTGGTCATAACCCAAGACAAAGAGTTCTTTCCCAAAACGACTACTGGGCTCCATGTCTAACTGACATGCTCAGGTGCATTTAAAGTTTTAGAGAAGGTCATAAATATAAGAGATAAAATAGCACCCCATAATTTCCCCAGACATTCTTGTTCGCTGAGGTATCTGCTTACAGGTCCAGTGACAAGCATAAACTGGATCCATCTGGCAATCTGGGGCTACAAAACCATATCGGAGACTAAATCTGGAACAGAATTAAAAAGACAAGGGTTCTTGGGGTTTGGAGAACCGTTTCCCAAAATGCTTGAGCTCTGTATCACATCTGCTACCAACTCTCTTCCATTTTTGGCACAGGATCAGCAGTTACTATTTCTGACTCCATAGATCTTATCTAATTTCAGAGGTGTTAAAGAGGCCACTGCAGTGCTGTTTTTATACAATTCTCTTTAAGCACTTCCAAATCCAAAAGAGAAAGGACAAACTTCTGAAGAAACTTGTCTCTGTAGATCCTCGATAATATTTTGCACCTTGCGGTGTCACACAACAATGCGTATTACCGTAAGTTTTGTTTTTTTACACACCCACATGCCATTTTTGTCAGTTGGTTAATTTTGCTTCCTTTTCTCATTATACATATTTAATTTTAATAGGAATCAAAGAATTTTAACAACACATTCATATAACAATAGGATCTTAAAATTGTAGAGTTGGAAGGGACTCCAAGGGCCATCTAGTCCAACGCCCTGCTATGCAGGAATCTCAACATGTTGTCTCCCATCCAATTTGAAGCCCTATTGGACCCTGCTTAGCTTTGCAAACGTGCTAGCAGTTTTCTTGCTACACCATGATAATGAGCCTTTCATAGTTTCCCGTGGGATGGATGGATGGGGGTGGAAGTGTGTGCCTTGGATCAGCCTTGTACTAAATTTTGTGGAAAGTGGTCCCCCCCCTCCTGTTCCACTGCAGCGCATTTCCTCCCCACCCCCCGTTCATTCATTCATAATTTTATTTGGATGCCAGCTTTCCGTAGCTCAAGCCATGGCAAAATGTAAAAAATACACATAATTGCAAACATAACAAAAGTAGTGATAGACAGTAAATAAATTGTTCTCTCCCCCTCCATTCCCTGTGTTGATGCAGGCTGTGGTCCTGGCCCCCGTGGATCTCGTCAAAGTCCGGCTGCAGAACCAGACCCACCCGTACGGACACAGAGACCGGCCGGGGGCCCCCCAGCCACAGTACAGGGGTCCAGTGCACTGCGCTGCCAGCTTACTGCGGGAGGAAGGCCCCCGTGGCCTGTTCCGTGGGGTTACGGCGCTGGTGATTCGCGACACCCCCACCATGGGCATGTACTTCCTGATTTATGCAGTGTTCTGCAGGGCGTTGACTGCAGAAACACAGGAGCCAGGTGAGATACAAAGAGCCCTAGGGGGACCTGGCAGGTGGGCCACCTGTGCACATCCCCTAAGGCTCTGTGGCCAACAGGGCAGGCTCTCAGGGAACCTGTTCCTTTGGAATATCGGAGAAAGCTGGAGTCGGGGGGGCGGGGCGGGCGGGAACAAGGAGTGTTTGTGAGTGTGTTTTAGTCTGGAGAAAAGCCAAGTAAAAGGCGCCATGACTGTTAGGATGTGTCCAAGGGAACGGGGGCAATTCGCAGGCCCCCAGCTGGCTCCAGCCCACCGGCCGGCAGCCGGGCAAACTCCGGTCCTTTGGAGCAGCATCAAACAGCGACTCACAGCTTCAGAAGCCTTCAGAAACTTGAACACGCCTTAACCAGCAGAGTGAATAACATGCAACAGAAGTGGCAGAGGCATGTGTAAAGTATATTTACAAGCAGTTTATTCAGCATAGTTCAGGACAAAGAAAACATGTCTGCTCTCTTTCATGTCCAAGAGCAGGAAGCTTAAGGCAAAAGCTATACACAAACGGAAGTTCCCAGCAAACTGTGCTGGAACGTAAACAGACATGTGACATACAACAATCATGTCTATTCCTTTAAGGTGGAATGGAACATCAATACCCCAACAATGATAGAAAATTATAAAATTATGTATGGCATGGAGATAGCTGGGAGAGAAAACTTTTCCTCCCTCTCTCATAACAATCAGGAACATCCAGCAAAGCTGAATGTTGGAGAGTTCAGGATGGGATGAAAGGGACAACGTCTTCACGCAGTGCATAGTTGAACTACGGAACTCCCTGCCACAGGAGGCAGTGATGGCTACCAACTTGGGTGGCTTCATAGGAGGATTAGAAAGAAATCATGGAGGAAGGGGAGGCTATCGATGGCTACTAGCTGGGATGGCTATACTCTGCCTCCACAGTCGGAGGCAGAAATGTTTCTGAATACCAGTTGCTGGAAGCCTCAGGGAGGGAGGGAGAGGGCTCTTGTGCCCAGGTCCTGCTTGGGGCATTCCCAGTGGGGCATCTGGCTGGCTGCTTTGAGAACAGGACACTGGACTAGATGGACCCAGCATCCAGGCTTTTCTTATGTTCTTATGGAACCTCCAGGTCCAGAGTCTATCTAGATTCCTAGATTCTCAGGGGTATTTGGCCCACTGTGGACTAGAGGGGCTAGCAGGTTTGTCTTATGTGTGTGAGGACTGTGAGCTCAGTTCAGCTCCAGGACTCCACACAAACTGCTGGGCTCTCCAGATCCCTTCATTGCAAGTCCGTTATCTTGACCGCCAGGCTCCACACAGTGGATCTTGGGATTTTCATACAAAACAAAATAGACATCTGCTGCCCTCCCTGTTTTAGGGGGCATTATCCCTCCCTCCTTCTTGCTCCTCCACAAGAGAGGCCCCCCAACCCATGCTGTGCTCTTTGCCTGCCTTCCTGCCTCCCCCCACCCCACCCCTTGCAGGCTCTGCCACGGTTCTGCTTGCCGGTGGCTGCGCCGGGACGGTTTCCTGGGCTTTGGCGACCCCGATGGATGTGGTGAAGGCCCGTTTGCAAATGGATGGGGTGAAGCGAGTGGCGTATCGGGGCGTCCTGGACTGCATCCTCTCCAGTGCCCGGCAGGAGGGCCCGCGGGTGTTCCTAAAAGGGCTGGCCCTGAACAGCCTCCGCGCTTTCCCAGTCAACGCCATCACCTTCCTGAGCTACGAGACTCTCTTGAAGCTTTTCTGCTGAACCCCCATTGTATCCTCAGGAGGGGCTGGCATTGCTGCCCTTCCTCAACTTATTCAGGGCTTTCGCACCAGCATCTTGCAGCCCAGAGACTCGGGGCAGAGGTGGCACCTAGCAGGCTGGGTGGGTCGTGGTCCCAAAGAAAGCTCAAAGACATTGACCACCTCTGGGCAAATCATACAGCAGTTTAGACTCCTGGGCACATCTGGCACATTTTATCAAGTGCTGTGGGCACCGCTCCCGCTGCTCACTGCTATTCCCCCTCCTCTGGAAAAACAGAGAGAGAAGAGGAAGTGGGTGCACTCGGAGTCATAGAATGGTAGAGTTGGAAGGGACCCCCGAGGGGCATCTAGTCCACCCTCCCTGCAATGCACGAATTGCAGCTAAAGAAGGCCATCCAACCTCTGTTTAAAAACCTCCAGGGAAGGAAAGTCCACCACCTTCTGAGGGAGTCTGTCCCGTTTTCGGACGGCTCTTCCAGTCAGAAAGTTCTTCCCGATGTTTAGATGCAATCTCCTTTCTTGTCGTTTTGAATCCATTGGTTCGGACCCTACCCTCTGGAGCGGCATAAAACAGTCTTGCCCCATCTTCCATGGGACAGCCCTTTAGATAGTCGAGATGGTTCTCATACCATCTCTCAGTCTCCTCCTGGCTTAGCATCCTCAACTCCCTCAACGTAGGAGCCTGTAGCACCACTCTTGAACCTTGAAAAGCACATAGAGCTGAAAGGGGAAGTGGGAAGGAGAGCCACTCTTCCTCACTTCCTCCTTCAACTCTATGTACATTTCAGGGAGAAAAACACACGAGGGTGGGGGCTCAGTCTCAACCTTGCCAACCCACTGCCCCCTCAAATCTGTAGCACTAGGTTATTAATGGGCGCTCTACCTACCTGGATTTTTTTTTTAAGATGGCAGCAATCATGTAGCCAGCAGCCTTGTCCAGTATGGTATAGAGGTTCAGACTTGGGACTTGGGAGACAAGGGTTCAAATCCCCACTCGACCACTAAGCTCACTGGATGCTGACCTTGGGCCAGTCACTGCCTCTCGGCCTAACCTACCTCGCAGGGTGGTTGTTGTTGAGGAAGAGGAGAACCATGTATGCCACCTTGAGCTCCTTGGAGAAACCGGTGGGATATAAATGCAATGAAATAAACAAATAAAATATTCCAGAGTGGCCTGTTCTGCCTTGCTAAAACACAGGAATTCCTTTATCACTGGAAAAGAGGACACAGCTTTGCCATAACATTTGGATAGATGTGAATGAACAAACAAACAAACAACCACTCTAAATTAAGATGGAAAAACAACCCATCTCACCAATAGTGGGCAACAAGACTTGGTGGTCAGGTAGCCTGGGGTTGCCTCTGTTTGGTCTGTTTATATTGACTGGCAGTGGCTCTGTAGGATTTTGGACAGCATTTCATAGGAAACCACAGGATGAGTAAGGGTTTGGGCTGACGCCACGTGTGCCCCTCTTCCCAAACCTGGATGCGGAGTGGGAAGGAGGGTGTGGATGCAGCTAGTGATTATCTGCCGCCTCCAGCTTCCTATTCAAACCAGGAGGAAGCTCAGTGGGAGTGGAAGGACAATGAGGGCTACTGGACTGAGGGCAAAGGTCCGATGCCATAAATTTGAACACAATGCACCTCCTCAAATCGTTCTTAAATCCCACCAGGCACCTTGTTGCTGCATCACCAGAGGTATTTGAAAGCTTAGGAAGTGCTGAGCAGAGCAAAAAGCCTGTGGAAAAGAAGCCAATCTTCTTTATAGGAAAATAAGTTTTTTAGGCGACATTCAGATGGGCAGCTACAGCTACAGCTACAAATCATTTCACAAGTTGAATTGCAGTTGATTTCCCACACTATTGGGGGCTACTCCATACTTTTTCTTGGGGTACATCCTTGCCATGTTTCTTCCTTTCTTACCGGTGGACATGATAAGGAGGCATGTTGGCTCAGAGGCAGAGCATCTCTGCCTTGCATTCAGAAGCCTCCAGGTTCAAACCCTGCTATCATCTTCAGACAGGGCTGAGAGAGACCCTGATGAAATCCCAGAAAGCAGCTGCCAGTCAGTGCAGACAGTACTGAGCTAGATGGACCAAGGGCCTGACTCTGACTCAGGCAGCTTAGCAGGGCTAGGAAGGAGACAATCCAGTTTACCTGAGCAGCAGCCGTTAAAAACAAAAAACCTCAGCAACCCTTTTTTAGAAAATTCAATTATTTAATTAGCAGTAATGCACTTGTTTTAAGTTTGAATTGCCCAATTACCACTCCTGAAATGATGTGGGGAGAGGGGGAAAGTGTGAACATTTGCTTTTGTACTGAAAGTGTAGATCAGAAGCATTTAATGAGGCAGTGAAAATCCACAGTGTTAAAATGGCGGTGACTGGAAAGGCAGCAGGGCTGTGTTTTTGCAAAATAACTTTTAAGTAGTGTTACAGTGCTATAACACTCATTTAGGAATTATTTTGCTACTTGAAAACAACAACACATCTCCGAAAATTGTTTCTTAGTACAAATTAAAAGATTGTGTTTTTTTAATGGGCATGATAAAATTGGCCCCTCAGAAACAGTATTTATGTCTTGTCAAGATTCAACCTCAAACTGTTAGCCAGCCATCCTCCAACCACCTCCAGAAATTCACACAGACATTCACTGCCTTCACTGGTTCAGATTTAAATGAGAGGTAGAGTTGGGTATCATCTGCAAACTGGTGAGCACCTGTGTTAACAGGTGTGTGTATCCAGAAGTCTCTTTGCTAACCTTGTAAGATCAGTTGCCATCTCCACCACACTGATCAATGAGTTTGAAAGACTCTGGTTCTCAGAACTGAGATGCTTAGCAACTGGTTTCTGCTCTCCTTTGGTCAAATTTTCAGGTGTGTGGTTTCTAAAACATGCTTAGGTCAGTTGTAGTTTTAACTATGTATTGGATACAACTTTGTGGATATAGCTTGCATGGTGAAATGCTGTAGCAGGAGGCTTGCTGACAGCAAATTTGGTTTTGAAGGGTAATTAAAGGTTTTCGTAACATAGATGGACATATGACAAGCTGCTTTTAATGTTCAGAATGTTATTAAAATGTGACACCAGAGGGCTCTGGAAAGCAGCCAGAAACCAGCAGAAGGAGACAGCCGTTTTGACAGAAAAAAACAGAGGTAAGAAGTGCTTTAAAAAAAAATACAAGTACTGTATGTCCTGTGATGTTTTAGAGCAATATATCTAATATTGTTATAATACAGGGGTCAGCAAACTTACCACACCTCAGGCTGGTGTCTGCAGCGGCAATCATGCGGCGGGCCGGAGGAGTGCATGCCCATACGCGTGCGCACATGATATTTCCGGCGCACTTCTGGGTCGGAGGAGCACCGGAAATAGCTTGTGCGCATGGGCCTCCTCCGACCTGGATGTGCACCGGAAATAACGCACATGCGCAAATAACACTTGCGCATGCGCACAAGCTATTTCCAGTGCTCCTCCGACCCGGAAGTGGGCAGCCGCGCAGGGCCGGTAAGAGCGGGTGGCAGCAGCGGGCGGCGGGGGTTGCCACGGGTCGGATAAACGAGTCCCTCGGGCCTTATCTGGCCCGCGGTCCTTAGTTTGGGGACCCCTGTTCTAATAGCATTAAACAGCTCAGTGTAGATCCAGCCATGGAGTGTCTTGCTAAAGGTAACAATTGATCGCTTTCTTCGACTGCCAGGTGAAAGTTAGGAGATGCTGGGTGGAAGTCTACCACAAATGGAACATGCCTGTCCTTTGTTTATTGATGCCTTGATGACGGAGGTTTTATCTAGGTAGGGTGGAAGCCCAGTGGATGTTGCAATCGATGCGATGCGCTGGATGTCCTCTGTGAGGTGTTCTTTAAGTGCAGAGATTTTTCTTTGGCATTTTCCTTTGTTGTTCCATGTATGATTGATTCTGAGAGCCAAGCTGTAGGACACTCGTATTTAAGGTCCCAATTACAGTCTCCGAGGTAATCCCCTGCACAGGCTGAGATCTTGAGAGATGGGCTGCTCGGAAATCCCAGGGTGCCTTCGGTGTGCGGCAATCAGTGAAAGCAGACAAGACTCACATCAATTCAGCTGCTGGAAACCAAACACTCCAGTTGTGCTCAGGTGAGGAGTGCATGGAAACAGGGGTGCAATTATAGGGGACACCTGCTGGAACAGGTACGCATGTGACAAACTGCCCCCCACTCCAAATGTGCTTCCACATCAAGGGGGACTGTTAATGGATACAGCGGGTTGTTTTTACTTCATGGACTCCCTGTAGTCAGAGGAAATGCAGACTAAATGTAAACCAAGTACATATGAGTCGCCTCACCGTGAATGTTGTAGGGTTGGAAAGGGTTCAGAAAAAGGGCACCCAAAATGATCAAGGGAGATGGAGCAATTCTCTTACATGGTTGCAGCGTTTGGAACTTCATCGTGTAGAGAAAAGGCAAGTAAACGATGAGTTAATAGAAGTTTTATAACATTATGCATGGCAGGGAAAGGTTTTTCTCGTAACGCTAGAACTTGTGAGCATTCAATGAAGCTGAATGCTGGAAGATTCAGGACAGGTATGCGTTTCTTCACACAGCGCATAGTTAACCTCTGGAACTCACCCCCACAGGAAGCGGCAACGGCCACCAACTCGGATTGCTTCAAAAGAGGATTGGACAAATTCATGGCCACTACTAGGCATGATGGCTCTGTTCTGCCTCTGCAGTGGGAGGCAGCAATGCTTCTGAACAACCAGTTTCTGGAACCCGCAGGACGGGAAAGGGTTATTGGGCTTGAATCCTGCTACCCAGCCTATGCCAAAGTTTTGTACTATTTCACGCCACAAATGTCTCTTGCCCCCTCCCAAGGCAAAGAGTGAAAGTAGCATTAATTCTGGTGTTTGAGCAATAGTTTGCTCAGTTATGATTTTAATCTCCTGTGTCAGGTGTTTTTTCCCCCTTCACTTTTGAAAGTTGGGAACCCTGTGACCTCACTCAGTTTGGCCTTATGGCATCGCTGTGCCGCATGTCTTGGGTCTTAGGCACAAGAATGCAGGGGCACAGATGCCTTCACACTGTGGGCATGAAGATTCAAAAAAAAGATTCTGCTTTCATTTCCACTACTACTGGAGAGTTGCTGCTGATTCCCTCGGGCACTGTTCAGTACTGAAGGAAAGCTTCCCTGCAAGAGAGCACGGAGTGTGTGTGTGTGTGTGTGTGTGTTTGGGGTGCCTTTCATTTCCTCGGCTCTTACACACAGGCATTTGCCAATCTCTCAAGATTTCTGTGAGGAGGGTGTCTGGGTGAGAAATTAGTTTTTCTGTTTACACAGGCCCTTGGCGGTGCCCTGGAAAGCACAACGGACAGACGTTCAAAATGAAATGA